TTTTAAGAAACTTTCACCAAAAGATCAACAGACAGATTCAGGATGAACTTACTTGTCTTTCATTCTTAGGTATCTTCTAAGCCACATTTCATGGAATTTGATCCTTTTCTGGCTGTGTGGTCTTTCATCTGTCTGTGCCTCAGGTGTCCTGAGATTAGCAGTTTTAATACTTATCTGGCTTCCAGCAAGGTATTAAGAATAAAAGGATAATGAAGTATTCAGACTTCTGGGTGAGAAGCCCAAAAGATATTTTAAATGCCTAAAGCAGGCTTCATTAACAATGATAACAATAAGGGTCTGATTAGCTGAAAAGCCAGATTTCAAGCTGAAAGCCAGTCTGAGCTAAGAACTGCAAGGAGTGATCAGCAGCTTTTGTAACACAAAGGCCACATGTCATCAATCAACATTTTGTTTTCCCATGATAAAAGACAAATATGAAACATAAGACCTAAAACATGTTTAAATATTTCCATGGATGCACATACACAAACCACACAAACCCAATCTCCAGTCCCATGCCATGGAGCAAGGGCACTGAGCAGTTAAATGGGTTTCAGAGAACATTCTGAAAATGTGCATCAGAGCTGACAGCTGCAAGAAAAGAGAAGAGGGAGGTTGGATATGTAATGACAGGAATTATAAGAGTGAAAAGAAGGTGGTAATGAGTCTGCCACTTATGGTCAGGCTTCATTGAAGTACAATTTGAGTGCTACACCTTGGCTGGAAAAAAAATCAAATTGGGAAAGTGGGTTAAGTAAAAGCACTCTAGTGTTAGGCATGAGGAGCTTTCTTGGAAAGTGTTTGAAGATTTCAATCCATTTGGTAAAGGAAAGGAAACTTGGAAACTTAAAGATATATTGGATAATTTGCTCCAAATTTGCTGGATACAAACCTGTATATGACACAGAAAGATGCAGTGAGATGCATGAAACATGCACTACAAAACTTAGGTTCTGTCCCAAAGGAGATGTTTTTGGGGTTTTTTGGCATCTTTATTGTCAACAGTGGACTGCTCAACAATTTGCAGTCTTGTGATAATGGATTGGACCCTGAAATGAAGGTGCTTCACTTATGGCTAAAGGCATCTAGTTATAAAGTGATGTCAGTGGACTGGAATGATTTGTAGTTCTCAACACTCAAAGCTACCTTTAAAACCATATGGATCCTCTGACATCCAACATACCTGCTTTGCAATATGTTTCATTTGCATAGAGAATGTATGAGAAGCCTGGCTGGGAGCAGCTCGTGGTTCATGCATTGCTCACTTACAGAAAAGAGCAGAAGCACCAAGTTTGCATCACGCACCCTCTGTCCTGGCAAGGAAAATCTGACATTAAAGGGAGAAGAATCAGGGATATGCAGAAATGGGACCAGTCACTTGGCCTGTTTCCCATTCATAAGCCACAGGGAAAAGCAGCTCCAGCTCAGAGAAGGAGCTGGCTGCATATACTGTGCCAGGTGACATTTTGCTCCCCCAGGCTTCTGCTACTGAAAGATATTCATATATTTACAGCCTTTCTTAAGGTCATCTCTGCTGTGTCTCCAGCTGAGCCATTAAATATTAATTGGACTACTTTCCAAAAATAAAAACCAGAATCTCTGATTTACTTGTGTAATTAACACTTCCCACAAACCAGGTGTCCTCCTGAACCAGACTGAACAAGCCATTTGCTCTTCACAATACTGAAATATGCTATGTGCTTTTGAGACAGACACACAGTTGCTTGTTCATTCCATCTGCACAAGGGCAGGTAATTAATTGGGGGGAAAAAGCACCTCAAATACAACAGAAAATATGCCCTCTAAGTGATGTAATCAAACTTTCCCACTCACACTAGATCACTTCAGTTTGTGTTTTGTGTTTGATTTTTTTAAGCGTTTCACATAGAGGGACTTTAATATCTTGTTAGAGGTATTTTTTTCCAATGCTGCACAATGCTGCTAAATTTATCAAAGAGCTCAGATTTTAGCCTGCAGTTATAAAAGAGCATGATCAGTCTCTGGTCATAACCAAGGACTTGCATTAAGAAACTTGGATTGTCACTTGAAATCATAGAGCCATTTAAGTTGGAAATTGCTTTTGAGCTCATGGACTGCAGCTGTAAACAGATTTAACCATGTAACAAGCCTAACATTGCAATTAGCTCTGAAATTTAAGTTCAAGACCAGCATTACTCACGTTAAGACAAGGTAAATATGTATTCAGTAATCACTGAGCTGCACAGATTATTTGCAGAAGTTTATTAGATGCTGATTTACCCAGATGGAGTTACATGTCTGCTCTTCAGTGAGGCTAAGGAATTTGTGGAGAGAAAATTCACAGAATTCAAGGTCCTCAATGCTCAGCTGCCATCTAAACTGAGAGACACTAAAGTTCTCATCCAAGAAAACTAGTTTTGTAGTGAAGCACATCCATCCTGTGAGGATTTAGCAGACTGGGAGTCAGCTCATACCTAAACCTTTTGGGAATCTGTAGACTAAGCACTACTTTGACTTTATTGCCTCAGAAACTCAGTGTGTCAGTCTCAGAGCTTACATGGAAAAAAAAAAAAAAGCTTTATTTTCTTTTTGAAGAGGTGACTCTCTTTTTCATAAATGAATATCAGAGCACTCACCTATTAAAATGAGACACATAGACTCCATTTCCTCCTCTGAAAAGGCAGATTCAAAATGCCATCCTGGATCTTACCTGAGAATATCCAAATCATCAGGCTTGGAAATATTTTGGTGAACGTGTGTTAAGAATTAAAATTTAGTGTCTCCTCATTTGCATGGACTGATTAAAGGCTTTTTGTGCTGCAGAGTTTATACCCTGCCTACCGTTAGTTGGAGGATGTCATTCAGGGGAGGTGCAGTTCTCAGCTCCAGTCTTTGCAGACAAAATACAAGTTTGGAGAAGAGGAGAGGACTTTGTGACTTTGAACTGCAGCCAGGAGCTGAAAACCCACAGCCCAGGAAATTTCTGGGGGCTCTACTGCTTTGAGAAATTTTCTTGTACACTCTTAAGGACTTGCCATCCTTTCCTCTCAGCCACAAGTGGGTGAGACAGCACCTCCTGCTAAGGAAATCACAGTTTCAGGCAGTTCCTGCTCACCTCTGTGGCATTTCCACCTCCCCAACACACCTACTGAGTATTTGCCAATCTCTTGTCTCTTAGCAAAGGTGCCCCAGGCCCTTGGGCAGGAAATCCAGATGAAGTTTCCTAGATCACCACCTTTGAGTTGGCAAGAGTGTGTCAATGGCAAGAGGCCATTTTGGATATCACACTTCAGCTTTGTTGGAAATCTTCTGCTCCAAACAAAACCCTGCTGTCAGGACTGTGTACCCCCTGTTTTACCTAAAATGTCAGTGTGTCAGTAAGAGGGAATCCACAACCTGTGCTGAATGTTCCCATCATGTAAGATATATGCAGCACTAAATCCTTGGATACCTTTTGTGGCATTCCAGAGCAACGGGGACAGAGTGTGGTTTCCTCCAGCTCCTCCTGCCTCTGAACAACCCCCAGCATGGAGAATGGAGCACAAACCTCATGAGTTCTGCCTGTGTCAGGAAGGCAAGGGAATGAAAGTGAGACCTCTCACTGAATGTTTCCAGCTTTGTTAGAAAAGTAGAGCAAGATCTTTTCTGGTGGGAGTGGGTGGTGAGAAGAAGAGAGAAAGGACAAATTTACCTGTATACTGCACAGGGGGAGATGCCTTTTGGTGGTGCTAAACAAGGCTGTTGAACTTCACTGCAAATCAGGACTGAGAGCACTACAGCTCTCCTTGCCCTTGCTCAGTTTCTGGACTGCAGCACTGCAGATCTTGGCTTCCTGATTCCATGTGGAAATTAAATCTAAAAGATGTTCTGTAACACCTAGTGCAGGCTCAAATATTTTTTCCCCATCTAGATCTGAGTACCTCCAGAAATACTCAATGTTTTGTGAGATAGAGAGGTATTGTAAAGTGTACACCCTCAACTGGCATATGTAAGCATCATTAATTAACCTAATAGCAGAGGTAGCATTTTAACTAGGTTTTGTTTTGTACCTTAAAAATGTGGCTTATAGCTTATTAGCTTTAGAAGTTTATTACTCTAATAGCTTAAAAGTTTATTATTATTTTTCTCCTTTACCATTTTCTCTAATAATAATAATGCTTTATTTCATTTGCATGTCTTGAAGGTGACAATTTAATACACTTAACTGTATGTAGCATATTCTTTTGCCAAAGTGAGAACCATTTTGTTTAGGAAACCAAGGGTAAGCTAACAACTGTAGGTATCATTGAGCTCATGTTTATTCATGGACAGCTACTGTAGGCTATTAAAACTTTTTGGCACAAAACTGACTAAAAAATTACTGAAAATTTAGCATCACTCCCACTCCCCACAGAGTTATCAGGTCCTTATGTTACAGCTGAAATGAGAGACTGAAACATCAGGTTTTTCTAGCAGCATGGAAGAGGGGGAGGCATGAGGAGACAGGAAGACATTTAAACTGAAAAGATTCCACAGACAACTTTTTTTTTTTTTCTGAAATACTGTATTTACACAAAATTGAAGAGAGTACAAATACTTTACTAAGAAGACAAAACCATTATAGTACATTCAATTTAAACACAGGCAGAACTATAGATGCAAAGCACAGAGGCCTTTGGGGGAAGAAAAGAAAAAAAAAAAAAAGAGCATCTTAAAGGCCCCAGAGATTAAAAGCAGGAGGTAAGAGAACATTGTATTTGTTAGGCAGCATCATCTTTCCTTGACTTCAGTGGGATTGAACAAGACACTCTCCTTCCTCACTGTGGATGGTGGGAAAAACCCTCTCAATGTGCTGACAGCTCAACACTGATTTTGCAAAACAGTTGAGTGTGTACTTAATTCTCAGCATAGAAATAGAACTGTTAGCTTCAAAGAAAATTATATTTGTGCCAATTTACATGCTTATATGCTTAGTTTGACCAGAAATAGCCTTCTCAATGCTTTATAGAGTCAAGTGCATTGTTACATAAAAATAAGAGTACTTTGCTGTCATCTTTCTTTTTATTTCTCTTAAAATATACTTTAGAATTGCTTTACTTTTTCCCTTACGTACTCAATTAGAAAATAGTAGTTTATTGAATGCCTTAGAATTCTTAAATTTTAATAAATGTCTTACATAATCAAAGGAATATTGTTCAAAAATAATTCCCACATTTTTCCAAAACCTGTTTAAATTTAAAAAGAAATAAAAGAGAAAAATACATATGCTAACAAAGCAGCTTTGTGTTTCTGGGCATTTGGCAGCAGGTCTGTTATAATATTTCTGACATCTCTTGTTTTCAGTTAAAATCACCAGATTAATTGATCATTATTAAAGAAAAGATTGTACAGTATTATGACAATCCACCATATATAGCCAGTGCATGAAATATTTTACACATTATATATCCTTTAAAAAGGATTAATATATTTTAGCTTTTCCTTTGAAAACAGATAGCTTCTGAAGTAATATATCTTAAACACAATGGTATCTGTCACTTCTACTGATTTTTTTTTTTCTGAATAAAAAGCTTGCTTGAATAGGACTACTAGCTCAGTGGTGGAACTACAGTGCTATTTAACTAAATTCCATACATGTCTTTGTTACTGTTGCTGCAATTATTGTAATCACATACCACTGAAGTGCTAAATATTAGTAACTCAGATATGTGGACTTTGGTTATGCTTGATAGAATACTGGCATATCAAATATATATATGTACCACTTCCTAAAGGCTATGTTACAATCATGATGCCTAGTAATAAATAATAATAATAATATTAATAATAATAACAATCTCAGATTCAAAGTGCTGACTCACTTGAGGCACCAATACAATAAATCAATCAATTAAAATATCTATTTTTGATGTTCAAAACCAACAGCACATCCTGGGCTGCACGTGCAGCACGGAGGACTCTGAACCTGTCCTTCCAGTGTGGGGATTCCTGTGCTCCCAGAGGAGGACTCTGAACCTGTCCTTCCAACATGGGGATTCCTGTGCTCCCAGAAGACACTGGAATGTCATGTCTGATATGGAACACTCCAAGACATACCAAGTCTTCACACATGAAACATTAAAAGCTGTCTGTCTAAGCTCCTTGAAAGGCTCTCTCAAAACCCCTCAAGCCAACTCTGTTCACTGGGGACAAGGCTTTGCCATGAATTGTGCTTGGCTGCAGACCAGGGAAGAGCCTTTTTATGAAAGTCCACGATGCAATGTGTCACATGAATGCAGCCTTCACACCCTGGAGACATTGTCACCACTGTCAGCAGGAGAGGAGAGAGGCAGTTTTCCAGCAGCAGCAAACACCTGTCTCCCTGGAAAGGGAGTGCTTTCCTGTTGTCAGTTTGTTCTGTGCAAGCAGTAATCGTTTTCAGTGTCGAGAGAACTGTTGTACCCTGATGAGGGATACAGGTCCCTCTTCAGTATCCTGTTGACGATGTTGATCAGAACTTTTTTGTACTGTTGACGTAAAAGTGAGTAAACAAATGGATCTGATGCAGCCTTACTGTAGGTGAGGCACTTGCTTATAATTCCCCAGTAGTAATTTATGGTAACAAAAGGAATGAGCTCTATCAACCTGTTAAACATTAAAGAGAAATGGAAACACTTGAGTGTTATATTCACACTGAGCCCAGTGCTCAACTCATGTTTCATGAAACATTCAAGTACCATTTATTTTCTTCAGTACACAGTCCCTGCAGGAGAAGGATCGTGTACTTACTCCTCACATTCAATAGGGGCAAAGAGAGCTTTCCTAGCAAGGCCACTGGGAGACAAAATCGATTCTTACTATGGAAAGAGGGAAAAACAGTTTTCAGTGGTAATGCTTCTGTGCAGAGGAGACAAGAGAGTGCTGCAGTTTACTGCTCACTTTCTGAATTTACTGATCTGTGCTGGTAAGTGGTCAAAATTGTGGTGACATAATTGACTACCTCTCTCCCACAGCAAGATTGAGATAGACACATGTGACGGGGCACCCAGACTCAGTGACCTCAGTTTCCTGAGTAGAGCTGTCTAGTGACACTTGAGACACTTGGACATGACCCCACTGGCATCAGGCTGCTGCTCCTGGAAGGTCCTGTGGCATATCTGCCAGCCTAGGTTAAGGACTTGGATGCCATGCAGCATCTCAAATGACACCAGCAGTGTGGTCTAGGTCACTGAATCCATCCCCTCAGACCAGACCAGAGCACCCTTGTTACCCCACTGTGGTGAATTAACACGGATGCAAAGTGGATTTATGTCAGACCATTGCAGTATGAAAAACAACCTGGCAGTATCTCAGGGAGGTCTGGTTGGCACCTGCAGTCCCACAGTATGCTGAGCAGCACACCCACAACTTCTTAGCCATGGAATTTTTTGTGTGCATTTGGCTGACTTCTAGATTGGCCAAAGAAAACAAGGAGACAACACTTTTATCATCATTATATGACCAGTCAGCTCCATCCAGACCTGTGTCTCCTGGTCTGTGCTTCACGGGTGATTAGTGGCCTCAGCACCTCAGCAGAGAGGGAGGCATTAATCATGGGGGCAGAAACCACAACTAAGTTAAACAATTTTTCCACAGAAGGGAGGGCAATCCTTCAGACTATTCCAGCAAATGTCTCACCCAGCTCATCTGCAAATCCTCCAGGAAGGTGGAAAGAACTGGGTGAGGGACTTTTATTTTGTGTATGTCTTTTGTAAAACCTTTTGCAGGAGCAAGAGTATTCTACTTTGCTCTATTCATCCCAGAAGAAAAGAAAATGTTCTGGGAGATAAAATAGCCATTTTCTGTACTCTAAGACATCACTGTTTGAAGATGTAAGATGAGAAGCTTTCTCAAGGCTTGAAGAACCTTCTGTCCTCTTTCTAAAATGCAGAGCTCCTGACTTTCAGGGTGTTGACTTTTGAAGCTGTTCCAGTCCCTCCTCATATAAAATCTGACTTATCATCATTTGGACTGAACATTGCTACAAATGACAGGAAAAATCCTTATTTATATGACTAAAAGTAAAATCATTTTTATGGCAAGTGCATTAAGAAAAACAAATTACTTCTGTTTGAAGTTGCTCAGAAAAAGTTCCAGTGAATTCAAAATAAGTAGTAAAGGAAGATACAAAATATGAGAAAAAATGTACAATAAATGACACTTGCTACATGATTGCTTAGGTTTATCACATCCTGCATATCATCCTAATACAAGAAATATATAATTGATATTTACACAACTGATGTTCTTATAAAGACACTAAATAAGAGGAGTAAGATATCTTTTAGTCTTGAACATAGATGTATTGCTATGTTCCCATTAATGCATTATGGATCCTAACTTAATTGCACTGAGGCCAACAGAAGAAAAATTACACAGATTTTAAAAAGATAAAGGGTCTGGCCAAAACAAGTCAGAAATATCCATATAAATGCATCTTAGTATGATTTTCATGTTTTCAGTGCTGTTACAAAAGAGATTCAATTCATCTGTCGTCTCTTAGTGAACAGACGAATATATTGCTAATGAGCCTAATCTCATTCAAATTTCTAAAGTGAGGAGGAAATACTGAGCTCACAATGCAACCTGAGTCACCAGGCCAGGAGCAAGACAACAGGGAGGATGGCTTTTACATTGCCTCCCCAGAGAACGCTTCAGTGCCACCCCCCTAAAAACCAGAACGGAGGAAGAACGGAGAATCAGGCATGGCAGCAATTCCTCACCTTTCATGAAGTGCTGTCTTGGCACTCTCTTGTCTTTGAGACAAGAAGCCTTTTAGGATGTCTTACCCAAAACCTTCCCATTCTGCTGTCACTGAACCAGCTCAGTCCCTGTGACAGACAGAAGCTGGACCTTGACACACATTTCCATAAACCAGCCCTCAGCCTTCTCTGTAGTGATTCACTGGGTACCAGTTTGTCACACATAGAAAATGCACCATCTCACATTTGCCAAATGCAAGGTCTGAAGAAGGAAGTAACTTTTATTGTAGAAGTTTTTGAGAAATACCTCCACCCTGAAAAATGTGGCCACGTTTGGAATTTGCTGAGCTTCATAATGGTCAGATGGGAAGATGGCAAAATCCACTTTGCTCAACATAATTACATCCTGATTATGGTAAAAGTGAATAGAACATGACTCAAAATGTACTGAACAATGATGAACTGACCTTTTAACTATGTGATGTAATGTTAATATTTGTAATAATCCTTTCAACTGCAGAAAAAAGATGTAGTTATCCAGGCAATCAGGAAGGAATCCCTTTCAACAGGTAAATGGGAACTGAAATAAATGTCACTTTAAAAATGTTAAAAATATTGTCTGTTTAGTACACTGGCCATAACCTGCCCCCTGCTCCTCTCAGAAAAGGGCAGTGGCTCTGCCCATGAATGGCCTGTATGTGTGTGTCTGTAAGATCAGAGCACTGAAGCTGGCCAGTTTCTGTGAGCTGCCGTGGCTGCAGCTTGGTAACAACCTTGAAGAAGCCCTCACCAGAGGGTTTTGCACACTAGTGCACCTCCCTCAACACAAGTCAGCACTCTTCAAGGCTGCCTGGAACACACTGTGAAAGTGGGAAATATATTTAAAAATCACTTGTGAAAGATTTAGCCCATTTCAGTTTAGAGATGAAAGGTTAAATCTGGCATGCTGCAACTCAGTGTAGTTACACTGACTTCCAGATCACTGGTTTACACAAGGTTTAAAAAAAAATAAAATCGTCTATTGTATGAAGACTACACAAGTAGATAACAACAATGATGCATGAACACTTCAAAAGGTGAAAACCACCAGGATGGATACTTATAATTCTGCCCAGTTGAGGAACACGGTGTTTCCTATACATTTAAGGAGTCTAATTATTGCTTTTCCTGGGAGATAACTTTTACACCTCATCACAAGTCTGTGCTGCACCATTAGCAATATATTTACAGGCATTAATGTTTCCAGACTGAAATCTTATCTGACAAATTATCAGGCTGGACAAATTTAAATTATATCAACTCAGCTTCCAACATCAGCAAGCTTGGCCTTATGCCTAAAAAAAAAAACCAAAACAAAAACAAAAACCTAAGCTAATCAGAAAAGTCTGTCTGTTTTCCTCTCTATTGTGAGGGTTGTGCTAATAAGGAAGGGTGGCAAGTCTTTTAAACTGCTTTTATCTCCTCCTGGCATGTAATTAATTCCCGGTACTTGTCCTAAAAGCCGCTTGCATTTGGCAGAGGTGCCCAGACCTGGCTGTGATGAGGGGAGGAGAGCCAGGTCCTGCCGGAGCTGTCCCCTGGGACTGGGTGTGCGGACAGGAGCAGCGTGTTTGTGTTTGTGTCCTTTGGTCCTCAAGACCAGTCCCGGGGGTCCGTTTGGTTCTGGCCCCCCAAAATTAGCTGTAGAACCCCTGGGCACCTGGGCATCACAAGACATCCTGATCCCACAAAGTCCCCCACCCCTACAGGGGATACTAACCTGGTGATAATGTAAGGACCAAAACAGATCACGAACGACCCTATAAAAATACTGATTTTCTTGGTAGCCCGCTGCCTCCTCCTTTTCTGCTCGTTCAGACAGCGCTGCTTCACACTACGGAGGGAAAAGAGCAGTAAGGGTGTTAAGGCAAGAAGGGAGGAGGTGAAAAGTGAGCCCAAGGAGGACGGGAAGAGCCCTCTCCACGCCCGAAAGCGCCCGGGAAGGGAAGGGAGAGGAAGGCAGCCCCGGAGGAGAGGAGGGCAGCCCGGTCCGGGGGAAGGGCAGCCCCGAGGGAGAGGAGGGCAGCCCCGAGGGAGAGGAGGGCAGCCTCCCGGGGGAGAGGAGGGCAGCCCCGAGGGAGAGGAGGGCAGCCCCGAGGGAGAGGAGGGCAGCCTCCCGGGGGAGAGGAAGGCTCTCCTCTCGGGGAGAGGAGGGCAGCCCGGAGGGAGGGAGGGAGGATAGCCCCAGCCCCGCCGAGCCTCGGGACGATCGCACTCAAAGCAGTGCCTCCCGCTTGAAGGGAGCTCAGGCAAGTGGCATAACCCGGAGAGCCCGATTAGCGTTCAAACAGAGAAGGCTACAAATGCACAAGTCACCGTTCCTGGCACTGTCAGCAGCGTCTGAAACCAGAGGCAGGAGCGCTCGCCATGCGGCCGGGGCAGGCAGGAAAGGGTGCTGGGGAGGCGGGATATCGCTTCTGCCCGGGGTAACTACCGGGGGTGACCGGGGGCTGCGGGGCCGAGCGCGCACCATTACCTGGGGTGGATATCCACCAGCAAAACCAGAGTCTGCATGGTAATAATGTCTATCCGCTTGCAGTGGAACCGGGCAACTTTCAACACCTTTAAATAGGTGAAACACAAGATCACCAGAGACAGCATGAAACTGGTGGAGTGAAAGACAATGGTGAACACTGTAAACCTTCTCCTCTCCGTCTCTTCTTTCAGGTGTAAGGTGCAAGAGGCGTAAACGCTGTTGTAATCTACCCATGAGTAAAACAAGGATACCAAGGGGAACGTGAGGGAGTGGAGCCACGAGTAGCCCATCAGTATCACAGCGTCCTTATATCGCATCTTGCTGGTGTAGCTTAGGGGGAACACCACGGCAATCCATTTGTCGATGCTGAGCGCTGCCATGCTCAGCATTGTGTTGGAAGTCAGGAAAGTTTCCAGGAAACCCACCGCCTTGCAGACGCAGCCCCCGAGGGGTTGCTGGTTCCTCAGGATGCCCAGCAGGGTAAAAGGCATGTTCAGAACGGTGAGGAGCAGGTTGCAGAAGGATAAGTTCACCAGGAAAACCCCGGCGACCTGCTTGCGGATCTCCGTACTGTAGACGAAGCATAGCAGCACCAGGAGGTTGGAGAGCAGAGAGACAACCAGCACCAGCACGAGGAGCAGCGCCAGCAGCACGCCTGCCAAGTCCATCTCTCAGCGGGTCGCCTGGAGCGGGCGAGGGCAGGAGGAAGGGGGCACCCGCGCCGGCACCGCAGCCTCGCCTGCCGCCCACCGCGGCCGCCCGCGCATGGTGCCGGCGGCGGGGCAGGGGCCGGGGGCAGCGCCGGGGGCAGCGCCGGGGGCAGCGGGAAGGGCCGGGCCGGGCAGGGGAGTCGAGAGAGGGGCGAGGGGAACGCGACTGGGCGGCTGGACGGGGCAGAGGGGGGAGGACAGGGACAGCGGGGCCGGGGCTCTCTGACAGCAGAGTCAGGCAGCGGGGGGGAGCGGGGTCCGGGGGAGCGTGGCCGGAGCCGAGGGTAGATGCTGCGGGGAACGCAGCGACCGGATCGGGAGATAGGGGGAGGGGGGGTACCCGAGAATCAGAGCTGGAATAGGGGCCCCGAGGCGCCCGGAGCCGGGGGAGCGGGGCCGGAGGCGCGGTGCTGCCGAGCGCTGTCCGCGGTGCTGAAGCGGCGCTGCCCCGACGGCCGCCCCGCTCTCCCTCAAGCCGCCGAGCGCGGCCCCCGCAGCGCCCGAGCCCGCTCCGTGCCCCGCCGCCGCTCCGCTCCGCCGGGCGCACGGCCTCCGCAGGCTCTGAGCATCTTCCCCGTGCCCAGCCCCTCAAATACTCCAGCCGCGGAGCCTCCCGCAGCGACTCATGCGCAGACGAGCGGCTGCGAGGCACAGGCTCAGCCAGGGATCGCGGCGTCGGGCTGATCCACTCCCGGATCGCTGGCGAGAGCAGCAGGAAGCCCAACTTTCCGCTAGCGTGCAGCTTAGGAAAGATCAGACCTGGAGATGAGTTACTGGGATGAGTCTGATCCCTGTGCTGTGCTCAGGCACACCCTGAGTGCACCAGCTGTATCTGGTGCTCCTGAAACCTGTTCAAAATCTGGCGTCTGTGCCCCTTGGCAGGCTTTCCCCCTTCCACCTAAGGGATTGCTTGCCCTTTCCCCCCGGCAATGCTTGCTGTGATTGCCCTCTGCGTATTCACACCGGCACACTGCTGACCAGTGAGGGATGTTTCTCATTTAGAGACTCCACTTTGAGTGCTTGGACTCACCAGCTGGTTGAACAAGTACCCACATTAGGGTGATGCTGGCACACTCTGTGGAAAACTAAAGTCTCTCCCTTTACCATTTTCCAATCACACTGATAACACCGTAGTGTGGTCGTCAGAAAGGTTTTATCTGTTATCACATTCTGGAAAAAGCTGAAAAGACAGACAAGAAAGAGAACAGAAATTCCCCCTTGCAGCTGTCAGAAATGTAGATCACGTGACTAATTCCCAAAATGCTGTGAATCTTTATCTTAGATTAAAAAAAAAAAAAAGAAAAGAAAAAAAAAAGAAGAGAGAAAAGAGACTAAGTTTTAGTGCATCAAAATACTGGTACAGAAAAAAGCTGCCATGTCTAATCACTGTCACATTTTACAGTTGATCGCCAGAACTGACACAAAGAAAAAGGAGAAGAAAAGGTAGATTTCCTACTATCCAAAATTACTGTTAATATCCTAAGGAAATACTGTATTGTGTATATTGTCCCTTTAGTGTAGCCTTGTCACGCAAGTGTGACCACTGTGTGAATAACTGTAAATAAAACTGCTTGAAAGAGCCTGAAGGTAATGTAGGTTTTGTTGGGCTTTTTTCCCCCAAGAGTAGTTAAAGTTTTGGATCAGGCCCTAATTGAAAAGCTTGCTATGGTAAATTATATGTCTTAAGGAAAGAGCAGAGCAGCAAGACATGAGATGTGTTATTTGGACGCGAACCAGTGCAGTACTATTCCTCAGGATGGAAAGAAAGTCAATGTTTTCTTTGATCAGAAAGCTGCCATTTCCAAAGTTTAAAAAGTGCAGATACATTTGACAGGGTTTATGCTTGATGAAAAAAAATCCAATATATATCTGTGTAACAGGTACACATATATCTGTGTAAGCATTTAAGGGAAAAGAAATCTATAAAAGCATGACAATGCCAGTTTCCTCAGCGTTCAGTTGTTGCACTTCTATCATCAGAGAGCCAACACTGTTTGGGAAGGGTTGGGAAGAAATGAACCATCATTGGAGAACCTGGCTGTATCCTTACAGAGCAAAGGTTCTGCAATTACTGCCTCCCCCACAGCAGCAATTCTTACAGTTCCTACTAGTCAGAACCCATACATGACCTACCTTTCCTTTAACAGTTTCACAAGGTTATGGGGTTTTATGTTAGCCACCTGGGAATAGAGGCTGTCTGAGTAGTGGCATCACTGTTGGGGCTATTTTATATCATCACAGTGATAACCTGGATGTGCTGTTCCCTTACTGGGATAGCTACCTGAGGAGCTGTTTCCTCTTGGATGCAGACAGAGGACAACTTCTGTCTCTTTCTTTCTCTCTCTCTTCTACATGCATATATAATTTCTCCCATATGGCCTTTTCAAATGAAGAACAAATTGTTTCTCAAAACTGATGTAGGAAGAATACATTTTAATAGGACAAGAAAATAAAAAGGTGGCAAAAAGATGGGAGAAAAATTGTTCTGATTTTTCAGATGTACAGTGAGTTTTACAGTACTCTGCAACAATATTCTGGGCTCCAAGAACCCAGTAGTGATCACTTTGTTGGATTTCTCCTTTTGCTTTCAGTGGAACTTGGTTAACATGACAAGTTAAATGTGCACATAACTTCCTGTGGGATGTGAGTCCTCTGCTGACCCTTTCCCATTTACAAGCAGCAACCCCATAATACCTCATACCAGACACCTTTCAGTCTGACTTGCAGCTTGTGAGGCTGGAAACAGTCACTTGTTTGAGACCAGAAGGCTCAGACTTGCTGTGGTGGCCTTGCAAATGTGGGCAGTGCCTCCTTAGCCCCTGGAAACACAGATGCTGCCTTTTCACATATCAGCAGACAAAGGCTTATATAATTTCAAATGCTCACAGCAGTCATACTAAACACATGTATTTTCCCAATCAAGATCTTACAGTATTTATCAAGGATGCTGTTTTGATGGAAACTGGGGACTGTAGAGACTGCTGCAACACAATTAAGAAAAGGAAAAATAAAGATGTTCTTGTCAATAATTATCCCTTGGTAAACATAGTCTATCTAGTTAACACAGATTAGGTAAGTACTTGAGACTTTTATTCTAACAGCTGCATCATTCATTAAATCTACACATTCATCTGTTCTAAATGTTGACCACAACTTATTTGATTTAATGGTGAATGGACTGTATTTTTTGGAAAAAATAGGGTAAGAATCAAATTCCTTTTTTAGTTTCACTCCAGGAGAGATGTGTCATGCAAATTTCAGTGTACATCAGAACTGCACATAATTCAGCTCTAATCAATGTATTCTGCAAAGGCTAGGAACATTTAATTTGGTTCTAATTTTAAGAAAGCACCATGAAAGAAGGAAACCTCAAATAAATTATATCAATTAATTTGAAAGTACAGAGAAAAGCAACCCTTTTCCTCTGATTCTCTTATGACAGGTGAAGCGAGGGAAATTAAATTATATTAACCAATATGGGGGGAAATGGAATGACTCATGGAACTGATGTTACGAAAAAAGCTTTTTACTTCTAGGGCACTTACTAAAAAGTGACCCATTTCAAAAGTGAGTAAGACTGGTTAATACCCATGAGATTTTTCAATATGTCCTGTAAATAGATCTGGAACTGGTAGATCCTGACAAGCAAAGAGATATCTCTTCTCACTTCCACAATGACTGCAGGTGTGTTATTGTTTTCACATTACATTTAGCAAATGAAGCTTTAGTGAAGTCAGAATCCTTCAAGTCTCAGCAACAACTTTTTTTCTTATTATTCCTTTGTTCTTTTTTCCCCCCTCTTTCTTTTCAGAGGCCTATTTTATTAGGATTTGAACTATAGAGTCTTTGAGCAAGCAGGGCTACTACACAAATATAGATGTTATGCTTTCTGGAACAATGAGACAAATAAGCAAGCAGATAATAGTATTGTGACAAGTGACATCTTGTTAGTCCCTAAAGAAAAGGTGTGAAGCCTGACTCATCAGTCTAATACAATTCTGCAAGACTGTTCTTGTGGCAGAATTCCAGTAGGCACATTTACCACCTGTGGAATGACTTTGTCCTAAAGATCTTCCTAAAATGGAACAAAGGAAAACTCCATGTGTGTAAAGCCCACACATTCCTTCACTAAGCCTCTACTTTTCAGGGAAAAAATTTGGAGCAGAAATATGAAGCTCAGCCATGCCACAGTTCTGCAGACTGAAATTGCTTCAAAATTGCCTAAGTACTATAATGAGGAATCTCAAAGTTCAACAGATAATCTTGTAGCTGTATCAAAAGTCTACACTCACAAAAATCTTTTGGGTCTTATTTCTGTTTATGCAAACTAGATGTATTCTTACAGTCTGCAAAAATTGATCTCAAAATTATTCCAGAAGAGAATATTTCATTTTGAAAGATGGAGGGCAGCAGAGCTGGTGGAAGGTCTGGAGCACAAATCTTAGGAGTGGCTGAGGGAGCTGGGGTTGTTTAGCCTGGGAAAATGAGACATATGGAGAACCTTATCACCCTCTGCAACCACCTGAAAAGAAGTTGTAGACAGGTGGGGTCAATCACTTCTCCCAGGTAACAAGTGACAGGATGAGAGGAAACGGCCTCAAGTTGTACCAGGTGAGGTTGAGATTGGACAGTAGGAATAATTTCTTCACCAAAAAAGTTGTCAAGTATTGAAATGGGCTGCCCAGGGAAAGGTTGGCACATCATCCCTGGAGGTATTTAAAGGACCTTTAAATATTTTTTAAATGTAGGTGTAGCACTGAGGGACATGGTTAAGTGGGGACTTGGCAGGCAAGGGTTAACAGCTGTACTTGATGGTCTTTAGGGTTGTTTCCAACCTAAGTGATTCTATGATTCTATTCTTGATATTCTTAATGGAAATGTAAATTCACAAATACTGGAAGATGACAGGAAAACAGAAACATTCACAGAAATTCCGCCAGTTTCAGCTGACATACAGT